TAAGATGTGAACATGATGATTTACAGTTTACTTACCATGTAAAAAGTAATCACTTGAATCAAAATGCTTACTACAAACTTGCATGGTAGATGTAACTGGTTTTCCTATTTTTAATTTTACCGTCCACTCTTCACTTAATGTTTTGTTTTTAATAGGAAAACGATGCATTGATATACCCCTTTCATATCCAGTGAAACACTGAGGCACACAACAATAATTCTTGCTCTTATTTTTTTTTAAAGAGGACGAATTTAACGTACATTCAGCCATAATGCCCGTTTAGGTTAGTTACATATTTCTCCGCCACGTGTCGCGTCGATCTCTCCCCTTCTCGAATCGAACCGAAAGTAGCTAACGAATCGTGTACCTACGGGCTACGCGCCACCGCCGGCTACGCGATGTTAAATTTTTATTCTAAAAGCAAAATCTAAATTCTAAACAGAAACCAGCACCAGGATTCTAATTTCTCGACACGAATTGAGGACGCCATTTTTCGAAATTTCCTAATTCTATTTGTACACTCGAAGTCAGCTGATGTCGTATACAATCCGAAAAGCGCCTCGAATCAGACGGGTAGTAAGTAGGTACCGAGTGTTGAAAACGAAATATGTATCTTTGTCTACTTTATGACCGTGAATATATGTCTTTCTTTCTCAGATTTAAGATCGTTTTTGCGGTATTTGTCGGACGTCCGTAATTCATAACCTAACAAAACATTTTTTGGTAAACGTAATGTAAGTATAAATATTTAATTGTTGCTAATCCTGTGCATGCTCATTATTTTAATTTTAAATAATTAATTATTTGCTTTCGTCTGTAAGGTCATTCAAAGTAAAAGAAGCACATTGGAAGGTGTTCGGGGAATTTTTTAAAGCCCACCCCGATTTAATTATGTTAAATGGGTGTAGGCTTACAAACGCTTGATAACCACGAATTTGCTTTAAAACATATAATGAAGAGTCAAAACTTACCCTGGATGGCCATCCTCTATACAAACAATACGCATTTAAATAAAAAACAAACGACAAACTAATTAATCTTAACGTCCTTAAAAAATATAGTTCCTTGCACAAGCTAAAACGCACGTCAACCACCGGCACGCGTCGACCCCACTCGTTTACTTCCGTCCTCTTTCGAGAAAACCGCGCGCACTTTGATTTAAGTTAGTTTAGATTATTAACAAATTACAGGGCATCCGCGAGAGAGGAACAAAAAATTATGGTCGGAATTGGCGTGCCAGTTAAATGCCATAGGGCATGGTGAAAAATCTATAGAAAAATGGCAAAAGGTAAATGAAACAAGCTCTCAAACAACATAAAGTACTTCTTTGGTGTTTTAGACATGGAGTGATTACAAATGTGCCTTAAAAAAGAAAGCTGCACTAATAAACAATGCACGTCTACAAACTGGTGGTGGACCAGAATTAGAGGAGAAACTGACTGAGCTCGAGTTGTTTTTATTATCGCTGTTAGGGAAAACTTTTTATGAAGGTGTTGGTGTTAGTGAAAGAGGTGTAAGTATATTTATAAGGTATTTAAATTGTTGCTTGCTAATCATTAAGCATGAATTCGTACAACAAATAGCATTTTCATTTATAGGGGAAGGTGTTCCACAATGAGACATGTTCCACAGTGAGACAAACAGTTTTTTTTTCAAATTTACCGCCATATCAGATTTATGTTTAGCGCGCTTAAATAACACCGCCTGCGCGGGATTCTCAGATATTAAGGCAACAGGTATCGCCATTCCCTACCAGTAACTGGTGGGCCTGTGTTATGAAAGGTATGTAATTTTTTTTATTCCTCTGTTTAAAATTGCACAGAAAAATAAACCGATAGATTTATGGGCTTTTCATAAGTAGCTATGTTTAGTTCATCCAAAGGTGAGGTTATGTTGCTTTATTCAAGGGCGTAGCATGCATAGTTTATTGTGGGTGAATTTTTGAAGTAGATGCGGAATATTTCTACAATGAGACACTTTTTTTGTTCCACAATATTGTGGAACATTATAAACCATCTATTGTTTTACCTTAAAAATTGGAATGTAACTGTTTTATAATGAAATGGACTGTATTCCAAAAATTTTGCACTTACCCTTTAGATGTAACTTGATTAGATATCGCACAAGGGATAAGGACAAGTGACAAGATTACGGAATGGAAAGGGTAAATGCAAGGATGAATTTTCACGAAACTATTAGTTCATTGATCGGCCTTTATTTATTTCACAGAGCGAATTTTAATTGCTTTTAGTAATTGTATCTTTTAGTAATTGTATCAACTAACTCTCGCGACGGACTTAATGCGAGTGTCCAGTTGAGTTATCTACTCAACCCTGGCAGATTAGAATTGTATGGGAAACTCCGGAAAATAAATTGAATTATGCTTTTAAAACCAAACATTTCCCACCACCCTGAAGAATACTTCAGAATCTACAGTAAACACAACGTCAGTAAAATTCTATATAATGAACTAATTATGTAATTACTATGAAATTTAATAGAGTAATATAAAGAAAGGAGAGAAAAAAAAAAAAAAAACTTCCATCAAATAATATTAAGAACAAAAAAAAATTCTAAATAACAAAACTATTGGATTATTGAGTCGGCAAAGGGCATACCTTTGTGACAGGGCGTCTATAAGTTCCATTCTTTGTTTTCACCCCAATTACTCGCACAATTCCATAATTGCCTGGAAAGACTTCCATGATACGACCTAAAGGCCATTGTAAGGGTGGAAGATTGGGTTGCTGAAGGAGAACAATTGTACCAATTTTGATCGGGTTATTCAATGTATTCCACTTTTCACGTGTTTGCATGGTATGTAAGTACTCAATGCGCCAGCGTTGCCAAAAGTGTTGCACCATTGATCAATTAGTTGATACCTACTTAATCTACTAAGGTTAACATCCATTACATTAATTGCTGGCAATCTGTCTAAAGGAGTAAGAGTCAGAAAATGAGCCGGTGTGAGTGCAATGGGCTCAGCTGGATCTGAAGAGAGAACGCACAATGGTCGGGAGTTAAGGAGACATTCAATTTGAATTAAGAGAGTGTTCAATTCTTCGTACGTCAATAATTGATCACCAACAATTTTAAGTAAATGCGACTTGACGCTTTTTATATTCGACTCCCATAATCCACCCATATGTGGAGCTCCAGGAGCTATAAAATTCCACTGTATCCCCTTTATAGTAAGCTCGGCTTCAATTTGAGTTTTAAAGTTTTCTGACCTAATTAATTCAAATAAATCTTTTAATTGAGATTTAGCGCCCACAAAATTACTTCCTCTATCTGAGTATAACATGGTACATAACCCGCGTCGAGCTAAAAATCTTTTAAATGCTTGAATGAAATTAGATGTCGAAAGATCGGAGACCAATTCTATGTGAATCGCTTTCACTGCAAGGCATACAAATAAACAGATATATGCCTTTTGACTACGAACACCTCTGTGCCGATTTAAAACAATACGAAATGGTCCAGCGTAATCTATACCTGTTTTCAAAAAAGGTTTGGCTTCTTGTACACGACAAGAAGGCAGATTCCCCATTAAAGGATATTCTGGTTTTGGTCTAAACTTGAAACACACATTACATTTATTAATAATGTTACGAACCACGCCACGAGCTGCTAAAATCCAGTAATGTTGGCGTAGTAAGGACAGCAATAAGTTAGGTCCCGTATGAAAATGCTTACGATGATAATATTCAATTAACAAATTCACCAAATGGTCTCGTTTGGGAAGCAGAATGGGATGTTGACTGTCAAAACTTAATTGTGAATTTTCCAATCGCCCGCCAACTCTCAGTAAGCCATCTCTTAGGAACGGTCTATATTTAACAAGTGCTGCTGAACAAGTGCCTGTATTTTCTAGTAAACGAATGTCGTTTATAAAATGTCTCTTTTGGACTATTTGTAATAAAACATTTTCTGCGGTTTCCAAGTCTACAGCGGTTAGTTGACCTCTGCCCGGCAAGCGTTTTAAGAAGCGTAGAACAATAGCAGTGGTACGTAACAATTTAGTCCACGAAGAGAATCGCTTGATTAAGAGATACAATGGATTTTCGTCTATGGGAGCGACAATCGTGGAAAAATTTTGGGTTTCTAGAGAATTTGTAACCAAAGAAGGGGTTGTAATTGGCCATTGCTCTGGATTCAATTTTAACCAATTGGGTCCCGTTCTCCATATATTATGTTCTATAAACTGCGGCGGGGTCATGCCCCTAGACAATCCATCGCTAATATTTTCTTTTCCACTGACATGAAACCAGCAAGTTGAACCGACTAATGCTTGAATCTGCGTCACGCGGTTACTAACGAAGGTCTTTAATTTGGAAGGATGCGTGTTAATCCAACTAAGAGTTACAGTTGAGTCCGAAAGAGCATATAAGTGAGTTATTTTCAAACGAGATTGATAGCAATTACGAACGTAACTAAAGAGTTTTGCTAAAAGATGCGCAGCGCAAAGTTCTAAGCGGGGAATCGATACAAATTTGAGGGGTGAAACTTTACTCTTGGCGCATAGAAGATTAACTTGTACAACTCCATCGGAATTTACGATGCGTATATAAATAACCGCTCCAAAAGAAGTTTCACATGCGTCTGAAAATCCAATTAATCCAACACTATCATTCAACTTTGTGCCGATGTGACGAGGAATGCTAAACTGGGATAAACATGGTAACGTATTTTTAAATAGTATCCAACGATTTACAATTGTAGGTGGAGGCGTCTCATCCCAATCTAATTGAAGAATCCACAGCTCCTTGATAAGTAATTTTGCAAAAAGGGTCACTGGGGCGAGAAAACCTATTGGGTCGTAACAACGAGCAACCATTGATAAAATATTTCTCTTTGTGCATTTAGAATTTATTAACTGAAATGAAAAACAAAACGTATCTGTAATAGGTTGCCATTGCAGTCCTAAAACTTTTAAAAATTCTGTATCGAAATCGACTGTTTGCGTTGAGCAATGTTCTGTTGGAATTTCAGATAATAAGTCACGGGAATTGGTGGCCCACTTCGTTAACTGGAAACCACCTCTACGAAAAAACTCTACTAATTGGTGATAAACGGGTATAGCTAATTCAGCGGAATCAATATTGGATACCAAGTCATCCACGTACATGTCTCGCTGGACAATCTCCGCAGCGATAGGCAGCGATTCCTTTTCATCATGAATTAGTTGTCGAATACATCTAAGAGCTAAAAATGGGGAAGATTTAATTCCAAAAGTAACCGTGTTTAGTTGGTAAACGTCTATGGGTGAATTTGGGGAAAATCGCCATAATATTTTTTGAAAATTTCTATCAGATTCTTGTACCATAATTTGCCTATACATCTGTTTCAAATCTGCTGTAAAAGCTACATGAAATAAACGAAAATTTAAAAGGGTTGTCAGTATATCCGATTGTAATTTTTCTCCAGTATATAACAAATCATTAAGAGAATAATTGCTTTCTGTTTTACAACTAGCATCGAATACTATCCTAATGGGTGTACTAGTAGAGCAAGATTTCAGTACTGCGTGATGAGGAATAAAGTAGTTACTATCGCCATTGCTATGAGAAACTTTTGACATGTGGCCTTGCGCTATATAGTCTCGTATAATGTCCGAATATTTATTTCTAAACTCTTCATTCCTTATCATTTTATTTTCTAATGTGAGGAATCTGCGAAGCGCAGTTGCACGTGACTCGCCCAAATTACTACTGTTATATTTAAAAGGTAATGCCACTGTGAATCGACCATTACTATCACGGCTATAAGTAGATTGATAAATATTTTCGCAAGCTAAATCATCGGGTTTAGCCACCGATATCGTTGGAATATCTTCAAATTCCCAAAACCGTTCAACTAAATTATCAAGGGAATGTTCAACTACAGCACAAAAATTAGACGGCGATAATGCTGGGGCGGTGACTGGGGCAGTGCCCATCACAACAAATCCAAGAGTGGTTCCGACGGCAATGGGTAAATTAGGTGGACCTATAATTCGGGTGTCTGTCAACAAATAAGGAAATAGTCCTGCTCCAATTATTCCGTCAACTTTGGCGGGTATGTGAAGCTTATCGTCCGCTAATGGTAATGACTTTAAATATCCTAAACAATCAATATTAATCTCCGAATTTGGCAACGTGTTAGCAATATTATCTACAATGAATACCTCCAATGAATAACGTTTTGTTGCATCAAACCTAGATCCAATTACCACTTGTGCTAAACCAATGATGTTGCTATTTACAGATCCTATGCCACGTACTAATCCAATATATTTAGACATTTTTAATTTTAGTTTGCGACACATTTCTAAGGTCAAAAAATTCCCTTGGCTGCAACTATCTATAAGAACACGTACCTCCCTATAAGCATCGTCTCCGTTAAAAACGTAAACCTTTGCGGTGGCTAACACAATGGCTTGTGGAAGAGGCCTATTGTCTGCAATACAATAATTTAAAGTGGTACTAATACTAGTGTTCGCTTCGGCAGGATTATGATTCTCGACGGGTTTGCCTGCCGTTTTTTCCAGTACAGAATCGGATACATTCTTACCAGGAGACCTAAAATGCAGCAAAGTATGGTGTCGTGATCTGCACACTTTACAAGATTGCGTACTTTTACAATTTGCGATCTTATGAAATGCCAAACAATTCAGGCACAAGTTGTTAGTTTTGGTTAATTGATAACGCTCTTGCGGACTAACTTCTAAAAAGGTGGGACACATGCAAGCTACATGTGCAGCAGATTTACAAATTCCACATTTTACAGTGGTGTTGTCTTGAACTACGAACGAATGAGGCGCTTTTGCTTTATTGATACTACTACAATCTCGACTAGAAGCATGTTTAAAACTAGCAGCCATGGAAGGTATTTTTGAAGGAGCATTAGTACGGGCGCATATCTTTGCTTGTTCTTTAACGAATGTTACAATATCGTCATACGACGGAATTTCAGATTTTCGGCGAGTATTTTCAAATAACCTTTGCGTGTCTGGATTTAATTTTGAAAAGGCGAGATAAGACAAAAGGTAATCAGCCAAGTCCTCAATTTCTAATTTGCGCAATGCCGTTACTGCTGAATGAAAAGTTTCTATAAACAAGTTCAGCGACGCGAAAGTTTCTCCTTGAGCCTGTTTAAAATTAAGTAACTGCTCTATGTATGAATTTGCGATTAAACGTTTATCATCAAACTTATCGACCAATGCCTTAAGAATAATTCGATAGTTATCGCCAATAGGGGGAATACCTGAACACACTGACAGCGCACTGCCGCTCAAGCACCCAACCAAATAATTGACACGATCGACATCGTTTAAATCTCTATTGTTATGAATCATATTGTTGTAAATTTCTATGAACAAAGGCCAATCTTTAATATTACCATTAAATTTCGGCAGAGGCAACTCTGGTAACTTCCGAATTGTTTTTGCTGTGACTAGATCACGTTGTGGTTCTGATCCTGTAGCGTAAGGCGATGCAGTAGCAGGGGGAATTGCACGTTTCGCGACCGATTCTATGTGACAAATTAATTGGTCAAATGTTTCTAATACTTGGTAATTAGGGACGTGATCTTCGCTAATTTGATATTCAAGTTTATTGATTTCATCTAAGGTGTCTAAAAATTTTGTTTTTGTATCTGCCAAGGTTTCGTATCTAACCCGAAAATTATTCAATTTTTCTGAAGAAGATATATCGCGACTATTCTCATACAATCTCTGCAACCTTTGAAAATATTGCTCCTTTTTTGCAACTAAAATTCTAAGTTGTTGCGCTTTCGATGCCATTGAAACTATTGAAATACTACTATACAAATGAAAACCAAAACCAAAGGAAAGGCAACAAATGTGCTCTGTGTAATATCTATTTCGCGATAAACGAATCTGCGCTCGATAGGACCAACAAATGTTTTATAATGAAATGGACTGTATTCCAAAAATTTTGCACTTACCCTTTAGATTTAAATTCTCCGCACAAGGGATAAGGACAAGTGACAAGGTTACGGCTTGGAAAGGGTAAATGCAAGGATGAATTTTTCACAAAACTATTAGTTCGTTGATCGTCCTTTATTTATTGCACAGAGCGAATTTTAATTGCTTTTAGTAATTGTATCAGTAACCGAAATCAACTAACTCTCGCGACGGACTTAATGCGAATGTCCAGTTGAGTTATCTACTCGACCCTGGCAGATTAGAATGGTATGGGAAAATCCGGAAAATAAATGCCGTTATTGAATTATGCTTTTAAAACCAAACAGTAACGATTTTTAGGGCTCCAAAATGGCCAGAGGTAGACAGCGAAAGACAACAAAAGGTGATTTCACTAAAGAACAGATGGGGGCCGCGGTTCGATTGGTGATTGAGGAAAAAATAAGCCTGAGGAAAGCTGTCGAAAGGACTGGGATAAAGTTTCAAACTCTACAACGATACGTGAAAAAACAAAATACTGCTGGTGAGGGTTCAAATATCCGGCTTACACCCAATTATGCCTGCCGTCAAATTTTCACTCCGGAGCAAGAGGACACCTTAGAAGAATATGTTGTTATTTGCGCCAAGATGTGCTATGGCAAATCGAGGAAGGACTTGCGTTCTTTAGCCTACGAAGTGGCAATAATTGCGAACCAAATCAATATTCCTGAGAATTGGCGTATCAAAAAAAAAGCTGGTTTGGAATGGCTGCATTGTTTTATGGCGCGTCACCCAAATTTATCTGTAAGGCAACCGGAAGGATGCAGTCTTTCACGAGCAACTTCTTTCAACCAACATAACGTGAATCAATTTTTCAACAACTTGGAGGAGATTTTTAGTCGTACACCTGAATTTGCAGATGGTACACGTATTTACAACCTAGACGAGACTGCAACAACTACAGTTCAAAAACCAAAAAAAATTGTTGCCAAAAAGGGAATAAAACAAGTTAGCTCTGCTACTAGTGGCGAACGGGGAATTTTAGTTACTACGTGCTGTGTAGTAAGTGCATCTGGCAACTTCACCCCACCTGCGATGGTGTTCCCCAGGAAAAATTTTAAAGAGCACATGTTACATGGAGCACCTTCTGGAACATTGGGTCTTGCTCACTCTACGGGTTGGATGACTACAGAATTATTTGTCAAAGTTATGAAACATGTTATCCGCCATACGTCTACCAGCTTGGAAAACCCTTCCCTGCTAATTATGGACAGCCACGAAACTCATTTATCAGCAGAAGTTATAATGCTGGTAAAGAAACATGGGGTAACTGTATTGACTCTTCCACCTCATTGCTCCAACAAACTACAGCCGCTAGATTTGTCAGTGTTTTTTCCGTTTAAATCGCACTACAATGCAGCAATAGAGTCATGGTTACTCAGAAATCCTGGACGCCCAATAACAATTTATGACATTGCTTCGTGCGTTGGGGTAGCCTTTGAAAAGTCAATGACACCTGGAAACATAACATCAGGCTTCAAAAAGGCGGGAATTTATCCGTTTGATAAGCATGTCTTTACAGATGACGATTTTCTTGTCAGTAGCGTAACCGACAGAGTTTTTCCCGAAGAACCAATAGATTCATATGAGGTCAATGATGTTGAAATGGAAACACAGAATCTGCCAAGTACATCAACCGACAAGGATTAATCAAACATTGCTGAAGATCGGCTTGAAACAGATCACGAAGGTCACACCAACGAGACTGATGATGAAGAACACACCGATACGTCTGACGATAAAAATGACAATAAACCTGAAAAGATGTTTATCTCCCCTAAAATTTTACTAGGCTATCCCAAAGCAGAATATTTGAAGCAAAAAGGCAGGCGTAGAAAGAAAAAGAGTATTATTGCTATCGACACCCCTGAAATCATCTTGCTAAAAGAAAAAGCTATAGAAAAATGAGGAAGAAGGAAGCGCAGGATTCTAGGAAACGCGAAAAGATAATGAAGTCAAAACCAGACTTTTTGAATCATCGAAGGACGAGAATGAGGATTCGAGAAAGCGCAAGAATATAATGAAAGTTAAAACTAGACGTTCTGAATCATCGAGTGATGAGAATGAGGATGATTTTTATGAAGATGACGGTAAGACGTCCGACGAACTGAGCGAAGAAGAACTCACTGAAAACCTTTTTAAGTTCACCGAATTAGAAGCGAGAGCCTAATATTAACGATTTTGTCTTGGTTCAATTTACCGAATCGTTGAAAACAACTATATACTACATCGGAAAAATTTTGCGGGAGGAGGATAATGAGTTTGTGATTCGTTTCTTACGGAAAAGTTTGAATGCATTTACGTTTCCGGTGGAAGAAGGCATAAGCTTGACACCCAAAAAGGACGTAAAATTAATTCTTTCGAACTATTTAGTGGTCGGTAAAACTAAAAGGGAACAAAACATTATTCGGTTCGAAATCAACCTTAGTTCTTTAAACATTCGGTAGTTTTTTTTACCTAAATGTCTATTTTTGTATTTACTATGCGACGAACTTCCCCCTTGGCCTTAGCTCGTGCACGAACGGTATTCTAAATAATGAAAGTACAATTAATTCAAGTTGATTTAATTGTCGAACAATAATATAATTGTACAATTCAATTTTTCACACCGTAGACGGTCGGCCGGTCACTCGGGCGCCACCAAGACTTAAACTGCACCCCTAAGTCTTGGGAAAGGGGCGGTCTTGTCGGACGGGGTGGAAAGCCTCCGGGTATCCTCTAGTGGAGAACGGAATCTACCAGGGATCGGTAAGAGTTCACCACAAAATGGCGGCGGTCACTTTCGGATTATCTAAAACAACATATGGCCGACGGCCCGGACGGTAAATTTCCTAAAGGGAATAAAGCAATAAAGCACAAATCAATTAGCGGTGTCTAGGGGAAAAAAAGCGGAAAAGCAAGGAGAACAGAATATAATGAAGTTTAGCGGAACGGTGGCAAAAGGTTACGGTTGTGCAAAAAAGGGAAACTCAAAACGGTAGTGAAAAGGAAAGGACAACGGCTTGACTTAGGAGACCGGGGTTGGTTGTGACAGGGGCTGGTTGTGACAGACGTTTTTACAAATAAATTATAGATGGCAGGAGTGCCACAGGTATCTTAAAGTCACTAGATATAGAAAGTACCGCAATCATCCGCCATTTTTGGGCAAATTTGCTGCCAACTTAAAAAAATTGACAAATAAAATCTGAATAGCTGTAATTTTTATAACCTAACTTCATAGTACTGTCATGTTTTATAAAAATATATACAGATATCTCTAAACAGGTGGAACAATCCCTAACATTAAAGTTACTAGAATCTGGTAACTTCCGCCATTTTTGGGCAAAAATCATGCGTTCTCTCTCTAACACACAAGCCCAATGGATTGCGGTACTTTCTATATTTAGTGACTTTAAGGTATCTCATCGAATCGGGCGTGTCATGCTCGCCAACTAGTGCGAGTTTGGTTTTAATCGTGATACTACTGTATTTTATGTGACAGTTTTTTTCTTTTTTGTGGTCTAAAGTAAATATTTTGATGACATTTAATCGTTTTATTACGTGCATTGGACAGGTGTTGGGCTAAGTGTTGAATTGCAGTTTTACGAAATAAGGTATGCTGTTAAATATTTTTAGGCGTCCATGCAAATATTTGTTATACTTTAGCTAATTTAATAACAAATATTTCAAGATGTCTTCCGGGGTTGGTTGTGACATCCACACTGGGGCAGGTTGTGACTGTCACAACTTACCCCATTTTGGGAACAGTCATTTTTATCATTGGTAGTACAAAGGTGTATAATTATTTTAGATATTGAAAATGCGAACTTATAAACGAAAAACTAATCGAGGACAAACTCCCATTGATGTTTTTGAAAGGGCAGCACATGTCACTTAGAACTGTCGCTGCGGATTTCGATATAAATTATCAGACTTTACAAAGGTTTTGTAAGAAGAAACGCGTGCAAAACAATGAAGGTTAGTATTTGTATACCTATAATTTCTTATTATGCAACAAAATTTGCAAAATAAAAAATATTTTAGGAATGGAGCAAGCTATAACTGTAGGATACAAACGAAATCGTCAGGTTTTGCCAGACGAAATGGAAATAGAATTGGCAGGCTATCTAATTGAACAGTCAAAACTATATTTCGGGTTATCGACTAAAGAAGTTCGTAGATTAGCCTACGAATTTGCAGTGAAAAATAATGTACCCGTCCGTCCAAACTGGGTTGAAAATGAAATGGCATCTGCGGACTGGCTTACAGGTTTTCTTAAACGTCATCAAACCTTGTCGCTCAGGACTCCGGAAGCGACAAGCCTTAGTCGATCTACTAGTTTTAACAAGAAAAATGTGGATACCTTTTTCTCACTTCTACAAGATGTATTAGATCGTTACAGATTCGAAGCACAGGATATCTACAATGTTGATGATATGGGAATAACGACTGTTCAAAAACCAGACAGGGTGATTGCTAGAAAGGGGATAAAACAAATTGGTTTTGTTACATCTGCCGAAAGGGGCGCCTTAGTCACATTTTGTTTAGCCGTTAGCGCCAGTGGCAACTCTATTCCACCAATGTTCTTGTTCCCCAGAAAAAATTATAGGGATTATTTTGTAGGCAACGGACCACAAGGTTGTATTGGAGCTGCAAATCCATCAGGCTGGATGACCGAAAACGAATTTTATGTGTTTTTACAGCACTTTGCAAAACATAGCAGAGCGTCTAAGGAGAAACCGGTATTATTATTATTAGATAATCACGAATCACACCTTTCATTAAAAGGGATTACTTTTTGCAAAGATAATGGAGTTATAGTAATGTCACTACCACCTCATTGCTCCCACAAACTTCAACCCTTAGATAGATCAGTATATGGTCCCCTTAAAAAATACATAAATACAGCTTGCGACTCATGGATGCGCAATAACCCGGGAAAGACAATAGGGGTATTCACGACCAATTTTTGAGGTTTTGCGTAACTTCGTATTTATAGTTACAAAGATACGAAATCGTCCACTCGTGAACGCCACGTTATAAAGCAGTTATGTGATTTGTGTATTTTAGAAACATAACCTCATATTTTTAAATCTGGTACCTAACCTTAATTTGACTGGATATCTCAGATGGAAACATGAAAAACACAAAAGAGGAGATTAAAAATGTATTAATCGACAATGCTGTGCAGGATATTGAAAGAATAAGAGTTAAAAGTATGTCAATTGGATATTTCATTTGTCGATTTTTTTTAATACCTACTTTTATTGCAGAAAATGAATCGGAATATGATAAAATATTAGACACTTTGATAGAAGACTTAATGATAATTGAAACATATAGGTATACTATTCGATTAACTATACCGAAATCTAGGGAATGGTGTTCTGATATTTTGCCACATTTAGATGAAAATCGGTTCATTCAAATGATACGAGTAAATCTTGGTGTATTTAATTTTATTCTTTCGAAAATACAGAACGATCCAGTATTTCATGGTTGCAATTCCTGTCATCAATTTCCTATACAAGTTCAATTAGCTGTAGTTCTGTTTCGGTTAGGTTCGAGTGGCGAATCAGCATCTATTCGTAAAATAGCAGCTATATTTGGAATTGGAGATGGAGGAACCATAGAGAAAATTACGTCTCGAGTATTTAAAGTATACCTAGGTTTCTAGTTAGCTTTAGAAATAGGTTAATTCATTTATTCTTCAAGGCTATACAAAGGTTGAGGTCGCAGTACATTTATTGGCCAAATGGTGAAGAAAGGAAAATGATAGTTGCATCCACTTATAATGAGCTTCCGTATTGTATTGGATATATGGATGGAACGGAAATTAAATTGTCTGAAGCTCCCGTTGTAGACAAAGAATCTTATTTTTCAAGGAAAAAAATATATAGTATTAAAGCTCAGGTAGCATGATTGAGAATTAGTATTATAGTAATAATATATGATTTATGTAGGTTATATGTGACGCTAAATTAATTATTCGTCAAGTTACTGTGGGCCATCCAGGGAGTGTGCATGATGCAAGAATATTTACTGCATGTAATTTATCAAATGATCCCTTGCGATACCTTTCACCTCCAGAATGGATTGCAGCTGATAGTGCATATAAATTAACAGAAAATGTTATTACTCCTTACAAGAAGAATTCTAGACAGGTTTCTGCAAATGTTCAAAAAACTTTCAATTATACATTCAGCAAGTACAGAGTTAGAGTGGAACATTGTATAGGACTACTTAAGGAACGCTTTTCAAGTTTAAAAGAATTAAGATTAAGAATTCATACAAAAGAAAGCAATAAATTGGCATGTGATTGGTTTATTGTGTGCTGTATAATACATAATCTAGTAATAACTGAAAAAGAGGATTGTTACATGGATATTGCAGATTATGTAATGGAAAATTATGAAGTTTGTGAACTAGAAGGTCGTGAAAATCATGAATGTGCGTTTCAACTTAATGAAAATGTTAGGGCAGAGATGAAACGAAAAGCGATTTCTACATTGATGCTTGCTCAATAGCCATAGTTTACTAACAAGTTTGATACATGTATAAGTACCTACATTTTTAAATAAAAATAAACAAGTATTCTACTAAACAAAAAAAAAACCTTACTGATGTAATACAATCCTAGGACTGAAATGTATTCTGTGCAGATATTGCAGCAATTTTTGCTTGGAACTGATAACGCATTTCGATTTCATATCGAGCTATTCGTTCTTCTTTTTCTAAATTTAATTTCTGCAGCCTTTCTTCAGATACTAGTTTCTCTTTTTCTAATTGTAGACGTTCCTTCTGTAGATTAATTTCTTGTAACTTCACAGTTTGCTCAAATTTAAAACGTTTTTCTTCCACTTCCATTTGTAACTTCGTTGCTTCATTACGAGAGTTCTGTAAATCATTTAAAGAATCAAGTGCATTTTTGGCATATTTTCTTTTGGGACGTTTTGCCAATTGCTTTTTAAATGTGTCAATTACTTCTAACTCATTATCTTTATTTACTTCATATGTGACCGTTTCGTCCTCTGGCAATGCTTCCTGAGTTTCTTGATGAATATATTCACTCTCATGCAATTGATCTGTTTGGTTGTCGTCTACGATGTTATCTTCTGAAGAAACTTCCTCCGTCAAGGTTTCTTCAGTATGAGGTATGTGAATGCTACTTTTTGTTGCAAAAATTTCATCCAACAAGTCAAAATAAGGACAAATTCTGATTACGTAATCTGAAAAACATTTTTAGTAAATTGCTTTCTAGCATAAATAGATTCTAGCGAAATACCTCTCACAGTTTTCCCGTCATTATCATCTAATAAGCCTTGGCCTGTTCCATTCAACCATTCCACTGCCTTGCAATAGGTGGTCGTAAGTTTCTCACTTTATTTTTAATTATGTCAGGTGTAACATTTAATATTTTTGTTTCCTGCAGCAATTTTGTGTAGTAAGCCTGTGCTGTCGGTTTCTCTATCACTGCATTATTTTGAATCGTTTGTAATAGAAAAGCCAGGACACTACTCACATCGTCGTCAGTCCATTTCTTACTGGGGCCCTTTCTGATTCGGCCTCGTTTGATAAGTTCTTGGGTTTGGGAGCAGCTCTAATGGACACTTGTAATTACTTTAAATCAAAAGTAAATAGGCTACTTACACTTTCGTTTTCCATGGTAGATACGGCAAATCAAATAAATTTTGGTTACACTGTAAACAAACACATAACCTCTAAAGTTACGATGACTACACAAATGTAACTTTACGCTCCACAAAAGGGCGCGTAAATGTACATAACCTTCGTATTGTGGTTAGCCAATGAAAATTCAGGATATTTTGTATGGTTACAAAATTTCGTAAAATAATACGACTTTGTATTTTTACGCGCGTATATTTGACCCTCGTGAATACCCTTAATGACTATATATGACATACCCAAAGTCACAAAAGAAGCGCTACCCTTGGCAATAACCCCAAAAAATATTCAGGCTGGGTTTCAAGTTAGTGGAATTTATCCTTTTAACAGGAACATTTTCTCTGACGACGAGTTTCTATCATCAGTTGTTACAGACCGTCCAGTTCCAGAGAACTATGGGACTGTGGAAGAAGATACACCTATAAACCAGAAGCAAAGTGATTTAATCGTTATAAACATCAGTGACGGAGCACAATCGAGGCCCCCTCAAATAGAAAAGAACAATAAAAACGAACAAGAGGTACCAGCTACTTCTAGCTGTTCCCATACTTCAATTGCGTTACCTTCCACACCGCACTTTGGGGATAAAGTTATGTTAAATGTTGAAGTGAATCCTGGGCCTTCTGGTGAGACTTTGATTTTTCTCCAGAAGACATTAGACCAACGCCGAAAGCCGGAAAACGCGTAACTACACGAAAAGGTCGAAAACGTGGGCGAGCAGCAGTTTGGACGGACACACCAAACAAGCAGGAACTTGAGAATGAATATAAGAAAAAAGAAGAAAAAAGCAAAAGAAGCAGGAACCATGAGAAATATTTTAACGGTTAAATCAAAAAATATAGTTCCTAGCAGTTCTGAAGAGGAAGAAGAAACTTTTTGTTTATATTGCGGGGAACCGTTCTCAAATTCCCGCTCAAAAGAGAAATGGGTACAATGCACTCGTTGTTCAAATTGGGCTCACTTGGAATGTACTGATAAGGATCCGTTTTTTGTTTGCCTGAACTGTAATTCTGACGATGACATGTAAAAAACAGCTCGTCACAACCAACCCCACTATTGTCACAAGCAACCCCAAGGCGGGGAAAGTTGTGACATTTTGCGTTACCAGATTATTATTATAATATCTTTGTTTGTATAGCATTAATAGAGTTGGTTGATATATCTTTAAATAATGCACACAATAGGAAATATATTTTTGTTTGAGTCGATGTTGTACTATCATTACCAACAATTAAAAAAAAAAATAAGTGAAAAACGTCACAACCAACCCCGGTCTCCCCTACGGTCGCTAAAGAGGGAAAACGGTAAAACAAAAGGGTTTCGGTGGATTCGGAATGATACGGTTTCGCAAATTAAAGAAATCAAAAGACGTACTTACAACTCGAAAGTATGAAGCAGAAAAGATACTCCCCAAATTGATCGTTTTCCTTTTAAAGGAACCCATTTTGGTAGAAGTGGAACAGGGAATTTCCAAAACCGTGCGGTGCTCGTACCGAGCGCGGTAGAAAATAATTCGGTTTTTAATTAATTCCGGCTTCTGTGATTATCTTAAAAATCTGGGACAACTTGCAAACAAACAGAAAAATCACAGCGCCTCTGTGGACACCTCTCTCGACGGTTTCTTACAAGGTTTACTACTGCCCATTAACATGGCATTAATTAACAGCGCTTACCTAATTAAGTGTATTCAAACCTAAGTACTCATCAATCCAATCTGCAACTAGCTCCTTTGGACTTTTTGTTCTCAAACGGCGCTATCGCTTTAACACTCTTATCGCAAGATGCAGGCATACGGACGGGACTGCAAAACCTGTAAACAACTCAATCTGAACTCGTTCTATCCTTGATTTTACTTATTATGGGAATCTAAAACATCTTATAAATAATTAACGGCGCTGAAATCAAAGAATATTAATTGCCCCTCATCTTCGCCAGGACAACATCCTTCGGTGGTTACAAAAATATCGCGGTCTTCTTGCGTAACGAAGCCCAAACCAATCGTTACATACAGGGTGGTCTTTGTAAACGGCACTCCAAATGGAGAAATTCCGGGTGCTTCGTTACAACTATTATGTGGGTAGGATTATTATTCACTGTAAATTGATTTTTTACTCATTATTCCAACAAAATTGTTCCACAATGAGACAAATGTAGGGTTTCTTTAAAAAAATCATACTATATTGGTCATCATTTCGCCAAGTACCAGGAATCAACTCCCCGTCATCGTTAGTTGTATCTATAGAACCGGGTGGAGAATAAAATGCATTTGAATGGCTGCGTCTCAAAATAGTATATTAAGATACAAGTGTATAATCAAGTCTTTAAAGCACGCGCAACGAGTTTAAGGGCACGACGCAAAGCGGAGTGCCTTTAACGTTGCAAGTGCTTTAAAGACCAATTATACCCGTGTATCTTATAGTATTTTTTATTATACCTGCAGTATAATTTAAAAATAGGAAATTCAATGAAATCATATTGACGTTATACTCAAATACATGTCTAATTAAGTAGGCTGGGTGTTCGTAATTTCACAATTGCCATGGAAATGTCACTTGACGTTTGCTTATAACAATCGTCGTCTTTGTGAATAAAACAATTTCCGTTGAAAAAGATAATACACCGTCCATTAAATCGCTTGTTGTAAAATCTAAACAAACGTTGGTAGGTGTAAAATCTCAATCCAGTTAAAGCCTATTATAAAGAATATGAAAAGTTGTTTCCGTGGATGAATGATAGGAAGTTACTTACGAATAAAGTCTTAAATGCATCGATAATGCTGGCATATATGAAGGAAATGTCAAAGGTATTTAAATCTTCTATCTTTTGGCGCATTCATTCAAAACTTCACTTATTACTGGACGTCCGTGAAGTTGGCACCGCCCATTGTTCATATTAATATTATTTGTATGCACATCGTTTGTTTATCGTTTGTTTACGTTTGTTTAACTATTTTCATCGTTTGTTTACATTTCCGTATGTCGTTTTTTCAAAATGGGCGAGCTAACTTCACGGTGGCTCGCCCAAAATCATAATTTTGTTTGTTTATCGATGCAGGTCGTTTGTTTAACTATTTTCATCGTTTGTTTACGTTTCCGCATGTCTTTTTTAAAAACTCAAAATGGGCGAGCTAACTTCACGGTGGCTCGCCCAAAATCATATTTTTGCTTGTTTATCGATGCAGGTCGTTTGTTTATCGTTTGTTTACGTTTGTTTAACTATTTTCATCGTTTGTTTACATTTCCGTATGTCTATTTTAAAAATTCCAAATGGGCGAACTAACTTCACGGTGGCTGGCCCAAAATCATAATGTTGCTAAGTTTGCAAGTCGTTTATTTATCGTCTGTGGGCGTGTAAATTTTATTGTCATAATATTATTTTTCATCGCGATATGCATCTTTTTAAAAAATGTTAAATGAACAATTAACTTTACGGTGGTGCGGTTAAAATTCGCTTATGAACCACTCTACAATAATTGCAGCAGTAACATTCATGCAGTGATTAGGTAAACGTAAAAGGCTCTAATAAATTAGTCACTGTTCTTCAAACAATTCTCTAATTTTCATATTAAAATGTACGATGGTACTTAGGAACTGCTTACCGTTTTAATATTAGTTGAGACAGAGCTGGATCGAGTGTTCTAAAAAACCGCTCGAGCGACGAGTGTTCTAATCTCGGTTCTAATTGTCTCAAAAATGCATGCAAGCATCGAGCTGTTTTGCAAACCGAAACCGCTTGCGAGTTCGGAGCACTGCTAAAAGTGCTCGAGTGGTTTATCGCGAGCGCTTGGGAAAAGTGCTTGTGAGCGGAAAAAAACGCTCAAGAGTGGAAAAAGTGCTCGGAAACGGAAAAAACGCTCGCGAGCGGCGCTTAATCCTTCAGAGCTTGAGGGCGGTTAAAAGCGCTCAAGAGCGAAGGAAAATGCTCATGAGCACGAGCACCGAGCACTTTAAGTAAACGCTCGAGTATCGAGCACCAAGCGGCCGCTCCAAAAAGTGCTCGAGGGCGTTTCATTCGTACCAAAAGTGAACTATATTGTAAGTCGGAAGATAAGTCCAGAAACAGGCCATTTTATAACGTATACTGCGTACTGAAACAAGTACCCAGCATGTTTATCGAGAGTACTGCAGACTATTTCCGAGGGCAACTCCAAAGAATTATAGTAAATATTGAAAAACGCATTAAATTAGATGTAACAATGTGGTACAATATTGACAATAGTAGCATTTCCATTGTAGATAACTTCAAACACTGCCCACAATTATGTCAATCTGAACACGTACAACTGGCTTATAGTGTTTCATAGATGACTCGATCTATTCTAAAAATACCATAACCCCTCCGGCAAATATGTCAAGATATATCTCTGTCTCAACTAATATTAAAACGGTAGGCAGTTTAAGTACCATCGTACATTTTAATATGAAAATTAGAGAATTGTTTGAAGAACAGTGACTAATTTATTAGGACCTTTTTCGATTACCTAATCACTGCATGTATGTTACTGCTACAATTATTGTAGAGTGGTTCATAAGCGAATTTTAACCCCACCACTGTTAAGTTAATTGTTCATTTAACATTTTTTAAAAAGATGCATATTGCGATGAAAAATAATATAATGACAGTAAAGTTTACGCGCCCATAGACGAAATGACCTGCAACATATGATTTTGGGTCAGACGCACCGTGAAGTCAGTTCGCCCATTTGGAATTTTTAAAAAAGACATATACGGAAATGCAAACAAACGATGAAAATTGTTAAACAAACGTAAACAAACGATAAACAAACGACCTGCATTGATAAACAAACAAATTATGATTTTGGGCGAGCCACCGTGAAGTTAGCTCGCCCATTTTGAATTTTTAAAAAAGACATACGGAAATGTAAACAAACGATGAAAATAGTTAAACAAACGTAAACAAACGATAAACAAACGATGTGCATATAAATAATATTAATATGAACAATGGGCGGTGCCAACTTCACGGACGTGGGACTAAAAAGTGGAACAGATTTGGAAGCATACCCTACATTACGCGCGTTTGTAAAAGCTTCAACCAAAGGATAGGTATAAGCCAAAGAAATGTTCTG